TAACTCTGAACCTTATAAAGATTCTCAGAGTACAAGTCACACTGACATGTGGCAGGCATTTCTCTGTGTGAATGGACAAACAGCTGCCCAGCTGAGATAGGGCAAAGTGGAATTATTCACCACCCTTCACAGTGTTGCTGTTGTATTCACAGTATAAACCTGGAAACCATTTGACTTTTTTCTTTCCTTTATATCACAAAGCCATGGCTGCTGCTTTCAGTGACTTTTGCATGATTACAATTCAGGTCACCAAGCAAATATTTATTTAGGTACCTACCATGTTCCAGGAACTTGAAGCTAAAGGAGAATGTAGAATTGAAAAATGTACCATGTGATTGCATCCTGGTGAATATGGTGAAGCAGAATAGGAAATAGGCTGAAAAGAGGCAGATTTTGATGACTCCTGGGTGTGCCAGGTTAAGGAGTTCCAACGTGATCTAAGGGCAGAAGGAGGCAATTGCAGGATTCTAGGCAGCAGTGTGGAGATGCCTCTGGCTGTGTTATGGAGCAGTTTGGACGGAAGCAGAACTAGAATGAATAGAACCATTTAGGTTAATGCCATAATCTAGGCAAGAGAGAAGGTAGCAGAGAGAAGTTCTTAGCTTTGGTGAAGGGAGAGGAGCTTTGAGTGATGCCAGATACCTGATTTGGGAGACTGAGTGGATGGTGAAGCTAGTTATTAAGACTGGGCAACAGAGGAAGAGTAACTAGTTATTTGTGATAGATAACTGCCCAGTTTGAGTTTAATGTGCTTGGGCCCATCTGAGAGGGAATGTTCAGTTGGCAGTTGGATATACATGTTAGAAGGGAGTACTGGAAATGAATTTAGGCTGGAGTTACACATTTGAGAGCAATCAACCTGTTGATGAAATCTGAAGCCATAAAAAGAATGTGACTGCCCAAGGAGAGTGCAAAGGATTGGAGAATTTGGTCCTGGGTAAAATTTCTGAAGAACACCACTATTTAAAGGACAGGCAGTGGGGCCAGATTCTATATTAAAAATCTCTGACCTTTGTCTAGGATCTGCCCGTGTGTTATCTTGACTATTTAAAAGTGCTGTTATTTTTATTTTATTTTAAAAGGCTAATGTCTGAAATGACTGAGATTTTATTAGCTTAGAGATTTCCTAGGAGAAACAACTAGAAGCCTTGAATGAAAAGAGATATAAAGTTGCTAAGCTGCTAAAGAAAATGTTTAGTGAGTAAAATTAAGCAGGATTCCATGAAATTGGATTTATATAAACTCAAATTTAAAGGGGCTAATGCTGGGTTAAGAGAAAATCTATTAAATCAGAAAAGTGTACAGCTAGGAAGACCTTAGAGGTTAGGTTGTTTCAACATCTTTTCACAGGTAGAAACTGTGACACAGAGATGGTAAGGGATTTGCACAAATCACAATCAGTTTAAGATTTTCATAGACCAGTGGCTCTCCATGAGTGGTCTGGGGAACCCTAGGAAAATTTGAGAGTTTTTCAGGGGATGCACAAGGAAAAAAGTATTGTCATAATAGTACTAATGTTATTTGTTTTTCAACATTTTTTTCTCATGAGTATACTAAGGAGGTTTACAAAAGCCGTATGATGTGTGATAGATATCACAACAGATTGAATGCAAAAGCAGATATAAGAATCCAACTGTCTTCCATTACGCCAGACGTTAAAGAGATATGTCATCATATAAAACAATGCCTCTCCCCAAGCTAAATTTTTTTTTGTTTTGGAAAATAGTTATTTTTCATAGAAATGTTATTCATGTTAATATATCATAGGTTTATTGTTATAATTATTCTTACAGTAATATTATAATTAGTGTCATAAGGCTTTCTGTAATAAAATTTCTCAGTTTTAATGAATAATATGGTAAATATTGACAGAACCCACATGAAGTCCTCATGAAGTTTTAAGAGTGTAAAGGGATTCTGAGACCAAAAATATTTGAGAACTGATATCTTAGCTTGGACTATTAAAAAGTAAAAAAACAGTCACAGAGAAGTTGTATTGGCAAATGTATGATATATATACTTTGCCTGTATAGCCCTGGTAATGGAACGGAGAAAATATGTGGGAAACTATTAAATCAGAATTAAACTGGAATGTTGTATGAAAAAGAGAAAGCCTTTCCTAGGATTAAACGTTTTTCCCCCACTTGAATAATTAGATATAAATTGCATTTTTTTCTTCCCAATGTGAGCATTAGAGCCAGAGTACAAGAAAAATTGTGTGAGTTCTGGAAATAAGCAAAGTTGACCATGAGTCTTA